CTAATGCTCTATCCACTGAGCAAAACAGGCTGCAGCTTAATTCATTTACTTTTAATCTATATGTGTCTTTATATTTAAACTGAGTTTTGTTTTCGATTCACCCTCATAATCTGTCTTTTAATTGGTGCATTTATGCCACTGACTTTCGGAGTGCTTACTGATAGAGTCACTGCCATATCAGGTGGCTTCTGGGGCTTCTGGGGCCGGCGTGCCTGCGGCCCAGGACCGGATCCAATCATGGGCGGCAGGCAGGTGGCTTCTGGGGTCGCACACAGGGGCATGGATGGCGGCTGGCACTGGCAGCTGGCACTGTCCCGCCCTGCCTGCAGTATGCAAATTATCCACCATCTTTGTTGGCGGTTAATTTGCATATCGTGCTGATTAGCCAATGGAAGGCGCAGTGAAGGTACAGTCAATTACCATCTTTGTCTATTATTAGATAGGATTAAATCAGGACTTAGGAACACAGGGGAAATAAGAGTGAGAAATAATAAGATGAGGGTAAAGTTAATATGCCAAATGCATGCCAGAATGTGACACATCATTCATAGAACTGAAGCACAAATGTATCACTTACCTTCACTACCAAGAGGGAAACATTACCACATTGTGTTTCATAAAACACTAGTTTTGGGAGATGTTCATAGCAGTTCCATCAGAGGTGGGGAGCATGTATCCCACTAACTTGTTCAACACCTGCCTTTTTCACTAGGTACTAAGCTCACACATGTATTCTCTGCCTAGAAAAGTGACTGGCTCCTAACACCCGGCCCTTGATAAGTTGCGGTGCATACTGTTGCTCAGAAAGCCAGTCTGTGTTCCCCCTCCTTCTAGGGTTCCTTCTTATCCTGCAGAAAACTAGATTGTTGTCCTGAGTGCAAAATTGGTTTTGCCTTTCAGAGGTACTTGAGAGACATTTGGAGCGTGAAACTGTTTCTGGATTTTTGTTTTGTTTTGTCTGTCTTTGCTGTTTTGTGGTGACAAGTAAGGTCATGGAAATGTGAGGGTTTTGGCATGAACACAAAGTATTCAACTTATTGGATATTGACAAGCAGTTGTGGTTGGAGCAGCAGGAATAAAGAGTTGTCGGGCTGAGTAGCTCTAGTGGTGGCCTCATTGGTAGTGCCGCCCTTGGGAGGGTCCATTCCGTGGTCATCTGGAAGTCATTTCTATAATCATAGCCAAGCACCTGCTCTTGCAGTCCCCAGTGACTTCTGTAGGCACTTAATTCCCTGCATTAAATATTCTTGCTTAAAACACCTAGAATAATTGCTGTTTTCTACACTTTTATCCTAATTGAGATCTGACTACAATATTTGCTGAAAATTTAATAAGTGTAGCCAAGTAAGTTTGAGGGATATTAAATTAGCACATCAAAGACTGTAGAAGTCCCACAATAAAGAAACTAGATTAACTAATTATCTCAACTTTCCCCAACATATTTATCAGACCACTTGAACAAGTGGGGTGATGTTGTAAATATTAGAATATTTTGATGCTATCGTAAATATGAGAAAGTTTGTTTCTGGACTCTCTAGGCTATTCCATTCCTGTGCTGATACTACATTGCCTTAATTAATGTAGCTTTCTAAAAATTATTTTTAAAAATTCTATTTTAATTGTTTATTGGTTACTGGTTAGTTTTTAATCTTATGAATACTGAATTGTGTTATGTAGTTTTTCCCTACCTGATGTTCCTCAAAACACCATCCCACTTGTTCAAGTGGTCTGATAAATATGTTGGGAAAAGTTTAGATAAACAATATGAAATTGTAAAATAAAAGTTTGTCAAAGAAAGGCTTGATGGAAACCAAAATGTTCATCAGGGATATTGGCCTGTAATTCTCTTTCTTTTCAGTATCTTTATCTGGTTTTGGAATTAGGGTAGTGCTGGCCTCATAAAAAGAGCTTGGAAGTGTTCCTTCCTCCTGGATTTTTTGGGGAAATAGTTTGAGGAGGATAGGTGTTAGTTCTTCTTTGAATATTTTATAAAACTCCCCTGTGAAGCTGTCTGGACCAGGGCTTTTGTTTGCTGGGAGTTTTGCTTTGTTTTTTTATTACTGCTTCAATTTCATCAGTTGTTATCTGCCTATTTGGGTTTTCTTATTCTTTTGGAAGGTTGTTTTTTTCTAGGAATTTATCCATTTCATCCAGTTGTCCAGCTTGTTGGCATATAGCTATTCATAGTATTTTCTTACAGTCCTTTGTATTTCTGTGGTGTCAGTTGTTATTTCACCTCTTTTGTTTCTGATTTTGATTATTTGGGTCCTCTCTCTTTGTTTCTTATGAGTCTGGGTAAAGGTTTATCAATCTTGTTTATCTTTTCAAAGAACTAGCTCTTGGTTCATTGAACTTTTGTATTGTTTTTTTAGAGGTTTCCATAATCTTGCAGGAGGGAGTGCTACAGGCCCTACTAAACTGCATTCATCATTCATAATTAAGTGCCCTTGTTACAGAAGAGCAAAGAAATACCAAGCACGCTTCCTAGAGAAAGGGAGGAACCCATTAATTAACACTAGTGGACTCCGGGAATAATTTCCAAATCAGAGTGAAGTAACATGCAGAGGCTTCGCTTTTTATAACCTTCTGGGGTCATTGTCTTGCAGATATGGTTCCACCCCCTTTCATGAGCTTACAGGAAGGCCCCCAGGTGTTGAAGATCTGTCCTGGGGCCAGGGATAACGACCGTCTCCTCCCCCCCCATCCCCCCCCCCCCCCCGCCACCGCAGGGCAATGCATTGTTCACAGTTTTTATGGCCTGACACACCTTGCAAGACAGTTTCCTCCTCACCCTTAAAAGCCAGCTAGGATGCATTCAAACTTGATTACATGGTTGTTACTAATCATGGGTGCAACTTGAGGCTCACGGAGACAGGGCAATTGTGTCTGTTGGGGAAATAAAAAAAATATCCTGCTCCCTCCCTGGCAAAAAAAAAACACACCTCACTGCAATGGTAATAGAGAAAGAAAACAGTTTTATTATTGAACTAGAGGCCTGGTGCACAAAAATTTGTGCACTCCGGGGGCGGGGGGGGTGTCCCTCAACCCAGTCTGTGCCCTCTCGAAGTCTGGGACCCCTTGGAGGATGTCCACCTGCTGGCTTAGGCCTGCTCCCCAGGGGATCGGGTCTAAGCTGGCATTCAGACATCCCTCTAGCAGCCCAGGAGCCCTCAGGGGATGTCCACTTGCCAGCAGGGAACAGGCCTAAGCTGCAGTCGGACATCCTTAGTGCTGCTGAGGAGGTGGGAGAGGCTCCTGCCACCACCGCTGTGCTGGCAGCCATCAGCCTGGCTTATGGCTGAGCAGAGCTCCCCCTGTGGGAGTGCACTGACCACCAGAGGGCATCTCCTGTATTGAGCGTCTGCCCCCCGGGGGTCAGTGTGTGTCATAGTGACCAGTCATTCCCAGTTGTTCTGCTGTTAGGGTCAATTTGCATATTACCCTTTTATTATATAGGATAGAGGCCTGGTGCACTGGTGGGAGCCGGCTGGTTTGCCCTGAAGGGTCTCCGGATCATGGTGGGGGTCCCGCTGGGGTGCCTGGCGGATGAGGGGCTGATGGCTGTTTGCAGGCTGGTCAAGTCCCCCAGTGGGGATCCTCACCCCATGGGGGTGCAGCCAGCCTGGGTGAGGGGCTGAGGGCTGTTTTCAGGCTGGACACAGCCTCTTCAGGGTAGGGGGTCCTACTGGAGTGCCTGGCCAGCCTGGGTGAGGGGCTGAGGGCCATTTTCAGTCTGGCCAAAGCCCCTTCAGGGTGGGAGTCCCCAGTGGGATGCCTGGCCAGCCTGGATGAGGGGCTGAGGGCCCTTTTCAGGCTGGCCACGCCCACAGGTTAGAAGCAGGTACCTGGGATTTATTTAACTTCTATAATTGAAACTTTGTAGCCTTGAGCAGAGCTCAGGGCCGGCCAGGGCAGGTGGGAAGCTTGGCTTCCTCCATTGCTGGGGGCAACCCAAGCCTCCTGCTCACTCCAGCTCCGTGGCCGCTGCCATCTTTGTGATGGAGTGAGGGAGTGGTGGTTAATTTGCACATTACTCTTTTATTAGATAGGATAAGCATAAAGCCAGAATGTGATGTGCATCACAGGGAATCCACTAAGATTGCAAAGACAGAAAGGAATCTCACCCTTTTCTATAGCCAGGCAGTCATAACTGTTACCTAAGTTCTCAAAATAAACACTAACTAGTCCTGACGGCACCATATTTCACACAAAGTTCGTCCTAGAGTCACCTGGCAACTGGGGCTTCCTGTGTTATCTAATTGGCTTTAACCTAAAGAAAAACAAACTTCTCAGTGTCTTTATAACAGGAGGTAGGCTGTCAAGTTCAGCTCCTGCTCTCCTGCAAAGACTGGTCATTACTTTTCAAAGACAAAGACATTCCCAAGTCCTAAAGTTGGCAAAGGGATTATTTAGCTTTTGAAAAGATTTGCATACATTTCAAAGAGAGAAAATAACTTACAGATTTTTTAAGTAAATACTCTAAGAAAAGGCAGTGAGGAGAAATGTCTTCCTTTATTTTCAACAGAAAGAATCAAGCCTCTTATTTTTATGTATGTATGTATGTATTTATTTATTTATTTTGTTGACACTATTACAGATGTCCCCAGTTCTCCCCCTTTGTTCACCTCCACCCAGCCCCTGCCCCCCCCGCCTTCCCTCTGGCTTAAGCCTCTTATTATTTTTTTATTTAAATTCTTTATTGTTTAAAGTATTACATAAGTCTTCTTTTTCCCCCATTGACCTCTCCCTGGCCACCCCCACCCCCCACTCTCGCACATGCCCTCACTTCCTTCTCCTCCCTTCCCCCTCCCCCCTCCCCCCCTTGTCTGTGCCCATTGGTTATGCTCATATGCATGCATACAAGTCCTTTGATTGATCTCTTACCCCCTCTTACCCCCTCACCCCCCACCTTCCTTCATAGGTTGGACTGTATGTTCAATGCTTCTATCACTCTGGTTCTATCTAAGCCTCCTATTTTTAATTTGTATTTGTGTTTACAGGCCCAAGAGGTGGCAGCAAAGGGGGGCATTTCCACCTCCTGCTCACTCGGAACTGTCCCATCTTGATCCAGGCTCTGGGACAAGGGACACAGAATGCACGACCATGTCACTCCTGTTGATTTCCCAATAGTTGTAGGAAAGCCGGGGCTGGGGCTTCTGGAAGGGAGCGGCACCCCAGCCTTGTGAGTCATATTGGTACTGAGGAAAGTGCAAGTCCTGTTCAGGGTGACCTCACCACCCCGCCTGAGGCTGGGGCTGGGGAACTTGAGGCCAGAAGGCAAGGCAAGGTCCTGGCCCACCCACGTGTTGAGGATGGAGCCTGGTCTACTTTCAAGAACACAACTAGCCCAACCCCACCAGGAAGTGAGTGTTGAACTGTGAGAATGAATAACTGAAAATCAAAACTCAGCAGGATCTAAGCAAAACTTTATGTTCAACAGAAAGTAGGAACTCCCCGTGGTTCCTACTTTCACCAAAAGATTGATTCTAATTGAGAGGGAAGGAGAAAAATATTCAAAATCAGTGACTCAGAAAACAGAAACTCAGCCTCAAATTCAAAGGAGTAATTCAAAGAAAAGAAGAATCAAAATTGCAGAATGATATGGTCATAATCCAGAGACAATTTATATGCATGATGCCTCCTTTTATTTGAAGAATTGAAGTGCTCTCCAAAGTAGAAACAATTCTTTCTCTACACCGTGTTTACAAAAGAGAGCACCATTTTGGAAAACAAGACAGAAATCACCACTTATTTTTTCCTAAGCTTCCTTGTGTTGCATCTCTGAAATACACATATGTGTGTACACATAAATGTGTATCTGAGCAGAGGAGCAGGACAGAAGCCACTCCATTGGCCCCCCACCTCCTACTTCCATGTTCCTGGAGTGCTGTGACCTGCCTCACTGGGAGACAAGGGCTGGAGCTGTCTTCAAGGACTGCCCTCTCATTTAGTTGGCAGCAGATAAGGGAGTGGAATTCCCAGTCAAAAGTGCTGGATGGAGCTGGAGAGCATTATGCTAAGTGAAATAAGTCAGTCTGAGAAAGACAAATATCACATGATCTCACTCATTTATGGATTATAATGAACAACATAAACTGATGAACAAAAACAGATTTGGAGACAGAGAAGCATCAATGAGATGCTCAAACGTCAGAGGGAAGGGAGGGGAGGGTGGGGGTAAGGGGAGAGATCGACCAAAGGACTTGTATGCATGCATATGAGCATAAGCAATGGATGCAGACAACAGGGGATGAGGGTGCTGGCAAGACTGGGGCATGAGGGGACAATGGGGGGGATAAAGACACATTTGTAATACCCTAATCAATAAAAACTTTTTTTTAAAAAATGTAAAGATGATAGTTTCAATTATCCTTTTAAAAAAAGAAAAGAAAGTGCTAGCTTTGTCTGGCTGGTGTGGCTTAGCGGTTGAGTGTCGACCCAGGAACCAAGAGGTCGCTTGTTTGATTACTGGTCAGGCACATGCCAGGGTTGTGGGCTCCATCCCCAGTATGGGACGTGCAGGAGGCAGCCGATCAATGATATTCTTCTATCATTGATGTTTCTCTCTCTAAAAATCAATAAAAAAAAATTTTTTTTTTTAAAAAAGAAAGTACTAGCTTTGATCTGTTGCCGCTTTTGCTCCCTGGAGGGCAAGCTCTCCTGTGGTCTTCAGGGAAGATTCTGAAAAAGGATGAGGTCCCACCCTCCCTCCAGATCCATCAGTGTCAGGTTGGAAGTAGAAATAAGGACAGGAGCCCTGGAGCGGGCAAGACCAGGCCACAGCCTGGCTAAGTAGAGCACCTTTGCCCTCCTCTGGGCACTGGCTCTGGGCTCTGTACCTGTTCTCCTTGGCCCTCTCTTGGGCCTCAACCTTTCCAAGGGCTCCCGCCATACTCTACCACTTGTGCCAGCCCTTCCGCACTCAGTCCCCACTTAGCACCCCCCTTCTATATAAACTAAAAGGTAGTTCTGAGTGTGACATGTTCTAGAAAGAGAATGTATGGCTTTTTGTTTTGTTTTTACTACAGAAGATGCCTGAAGTATATGTTTGTGCTGCCATTTTGGCTCTCAATCCAATGAGCCTCTTGGTGTTCTCATTTTTAAAATTTTATTCTAGACAGTTCAGAGGATCTGGGGACTCTGCCACACATCCAGTTCAATAGTTAAATCAGTTTTCATTATTCACCCAGGTATTTAATGAGTAACTCTCAGTATCTCATATTGTTCCAGGCTTTGTAGAGACCCCAAAGAATGTAAGAATGATGCCTCATCACTTGGAATTTACACCATATCTGGGGAGACCACATACCAACACGTGGAAGTGTCCCAGTTCAGGCATGGATGTTCGGAGGGAGGATAAACATGGCTGCAGTGTGCAGGTAAAGCTTCCTGCAGAGGTGGGATCTGAAGGTTATTTATTTATTATTTATTTATTTTTAATAGCAATAATCACACCTCAGATAAACCTCATTGGCTAGGATACTGCCACTGCGCAAAGCTGAAGGTCCTGTAATAGTGGACAGAATTTGAACAGGAAAACATCCTAAGCCTAAGGAACAGCAAGGGTGTAGGGAGGCTTCCATAAGTTTGTGTGACCTGGAGGACGGCTGCCACTGTTGGGGTCCCTACTATCACTACAAGGACCTCCAGCTCCCATGGAAGCTTGATGAGCCAGAGCACAAAAGTAGGGGCATCAGAAGTCCCAGGACGGGGCCACGGAACCTTGCATCCTGTGAGAAGCAAACATCTCAGAAGCAGTGAGGTAGGTGGAAGGCTGTCAGAGTTGCCCTTGGACTCTGAGGCTCTCAAACCCCACCTTCCACCCAGAGACTTGTATATTTCACCTTCCGGAACTCACCACGGGTAATTCTACGTGACTAATTTGATGTTCACTCTCCCCCAGTAGAAGATGGACCATCAGGGAATGGTGGTCAACCCTAACTGGGCATGGGTCTGATGATATTTTGCTTTGTTGTCCTTCTTCCCAAATCTTATCCAGGGGCATAATAGAAGGAGACTTTCTGGGGCTTATTTTGACTAGAGACACCTGCCTTCAAGGATTTGGGGTTGTTAGCACTCTCAGAGCTACCTGCTGGTACCCTTGTACACTCTGCCTCATCCAGCAAGAAGTACACACTTGGAGCTGGACGAGAGCCTGGTCCATGCTGGTGTCAGCAAGGAGGCTGGGCCAAAGCAGGGGATTATCAAGAGATGGGAAGAATGCCCATAGCAGGATGGGGCTGCTGCGGTGATAGGATGTCCATTCAGACCAATGGTGTCAAGAGTATGCACATCAGTCAAAAGACACCCTGCTCACCCTCTTGTCCCCCTGCCTTCAGGACATGTTCCTAAGGACAGATCTCAGCATAGCAACCTTCTGCCAGGACCGCAGGAAGGCTCCATGCCACATATCAAAATTCACCAGGCGGTCTGCAACATGGCAAATAGGCCCTTTCCCATTATGGAGTCACAGAAATGTTGAGGAAACTGTCACAAAATAAATATTTATTTCATGTATGCTGTCCCTGCACAAAATAAAGGGAAGTCCTCAGTGGCAGAAATGAAGAGAAAAACAACAGCTGAAGCACTTAGGTGTAAATTGGAAGCCTGGAGTCTGTGGGGATCTTAGAGGAGCCAAATTTAGGTGCTAGGGACTGAACTGAGTTAATAACACTTGAAAAGGAATGGGACCTGTGGCCTTAGCCTTGCTTGGAGAAGAGAAGCTTTTACTTTTTTATTTTTTAAAAAATATATTTTATTGATGTTTTACAGAGAGGAAGGGAGAGGGATAAAGAGCCAGAAACATCGATGAGAGAGAAACATCTATCAGCTGCCTCCTGCACACTCCCTACTGGGTATGTGCCCACAACCAAGGTACATGCCCTTGACCAGAAACGAACCCGGGATCCTCGAGTCCGCAGGCCAATGCTCTATCCACTGAGCAAATCCGGTTGGGGCAGGAGAGAAGCTTTTAATCTGAGCTCAGCAGAAAAGCAAAAGCATCAAAGAGATGCCCCTTCCTTAGAAAGGGATTAGAAAACACTTCCCACCAGCTCAGGGGAGTATGAGGAAGCAAATGGTCTAGTTTGGGTGCAAAAGAAAAAGATCACCTGTCAGAAATTGAATTCCTAAGGCCTGTGCCCTGAAAGAGTGCAGAGTCCAGATTTATACTACCTGTGAGGCCCATAATTCCCAAGCAGAGAAATTAACATAAAATTTGGTTAAATAATTGAAGCCTCTAGGATCCTACTAGATAATGCGTAACCACTCTGTATAGAAACAGTCTCAAAGCAGAGCACATGAGAGTCACACAGGAAAAACAAATCCTACTGAAAATGAGCTCACAATAAAAAGTGACAGCTCATGTGAGGAAATGAGCCTCCGGGAGTGGGAACCAGCAGGTGCAGCTGGTTCTCAAGGACTGCAGACAATGGAACCATCTGAAAGAAGCCATGCACATATTCATACCCAGAATTTCAAAAGCAGAACCTGGTAGTGCTGATCCGTGTTCTAATCCCAACCTGTTCCTCCTGTGTCCACCTTTTTATATCATTCTAATCCTTCCTGCCATCTAGACTCAAATTCTTGAACTGTCATCAAATTCTCCCTCTCTCAGCTTTTCCCCTTAAAAATGGTTCTCAATGTTCTCATCCCCCTTCTTCTCCACTCCTCTGTTACATGATGGCCATTTAGATGATCTCCCTGCATTCCCATCCCCATTGTCCCCTCTTCTCTTTAATCCACCCCAACACTGCCACTAAGTTATCCTCCTAAATGCCAAGTTCAATGATTTTACTTGCCAAAGCCAAATTCTTTTTTTTGTTTTGTTTTGTTTTTTTTTAATATATTTTATTGATTTTTTACAGAGAGGAGGGGAGAGGGATAGTCAGAAACATCGATGAAAGAGAAACATCGATCAGCTGCCTCCTGCACGCCCCCCCTGGGGATGTGACCGCAACCAAGGTACATGCCCTCGACCAGAATCGAACCTGGGACCCCTGAGTCCACAGGCCGACGCTCTATCCACTGAGCCAAACCGGTCAGGGCCAAATTCTTTTTTTTATATAAATTTTTTAAATATATTTTTATTGATTTCAGAGAGGAAGGGAGAGGGAGCATCATTGATTGGCTGCCCCTGCATGCCCTCTACTGGGGATCAAGCCCACAACCCAGGCATGTGCCCATGACTAGAATTGAACCTGGGACCCTTCAGTCCACAGGCTGACGCTCTCTCCACTGAGTCAAACCAGCTAGGGCCAAATTCTTTTTTTAAAATATATTTTTATGGGCTTCAGAGAGGAAGGGAGAGAGAGATATTAAAACATCAATGATGAGAGAGAATCATTGATTGGCTGCCTCCTGCATGCCGCTTACTGGGGATTGAGTCCACAACCTGAGCATGTGCCCTTGACTGGAATTGAACCTGGGACCCTTCAGTCTGCAGGCCAGCACTTTATCCACTGAGCCAAACTGGCTTGGGCCAAAGCCAAATTATCCTATATAATAAAAGCCTAATATGCTAAATGTCCAGTTGTTCATTCAACCAATCAAAGTGGAATATGCTAATAATATGCTAAGGCTGCTCAACCACTCGCTATGACATGCACTGACCACCAGGAGGCAGATGCTCTGATCAGTAGGGTAGCTTGCTGCTGGGGTCTGGCCGTGGAGCCCTCCCACGGTCCCTCCCTGGCTGGCCAATCTCCCGTGTCCCTCCCCAGCCCCAATTGTGCACTGGTGAGGTCCTTTGGCCTGGCCTGCACCCTCTCACAATCCAAGACCCCTTGGGGGATGTCAGAGAGCTGGTTTTGGCCTGATCTCGCAGGCCAGACCATGGGATCCCACTGGTGCATGAATTCGTGCACCGGGCCTCTAATTGATTATGAAAGTTAATACCTTCCCCAACTTGAATCTAAACATTTTTTCCTGTTTTGTTCCCTATTATAATATAATCACTCCAACCTGCTATTTCAGCCATTCTGGCTTACTTATCTTCCTACCCTTTCCCTCATGCTTCCAAGCAGTCTCCTCCTTCTGACTAGACTGCTCCCTCATCACATCTGCTGACTGAAAGTGAACCTTAGCTTAAACCTTTAGAAGCATGATGTGAAAGAATGAAGGCATCATTACAGCTAGATACATCTGGTTTCAAGTCCCAGGTATGTCGCTTAATAGCTCGAGAAAGTCACAACCTCTCTGACCCTCAGTTTCTAACCATGCTACTTTGCAGAATTGGGAGGATTAGAGATAATCTACATACTAGTAAAGCGCTCAACAGAGAACCTGGCCCCCAAAAGTGCTCAATAAACAGTTGCTGAATTGAATCTCTATCTTCACATTTTTATGGAAGCTATGTCTTCACTGCTTCCCCAGCCAGAGCTCCATGATGCCTGAGGCCTTGTCATATTTGTCTTTGCATCTTTGCACTTTCCTGTGACTAGCATAGGAAATCTTGAAACATGTCAATTGACAAGTAGTGAAAGAACGAGGCATGCCTAACCTGAAACTAGAAGGGGAGATTTTGGGTAGAGGGCCCAGATGTTGGAGGGGTATTGAGCGCCAATCTATACTGCGTCACTCCAGAGAGGGCAGAACCACCACCAGGAGCCACAAGGAGGCTGATGCTAGCCAGGGTAGGAAGGAATCGCCAACCTTTAGAGCTGTTTAATATGAGAGCAGGTATCAAATGTAAGTTGTGTGCCATAAAAAACCCTCAGATTATAGGAAGTATTTGCTAGTAATAATGAGAGAGGCTGATTGCTGTCATACTGATCTTCAAAATACACACCTCCCATCTAGAGGGCTTGGTTCATAGCTAAAAGCTCAGTGCTTTTTTTTTTTTTGCCACAAATTCAAGGCTCTACATATTTTTTATTAAATGAATAAATAAATGAAGTCATTGATCAATCTTATTTTTAAGGAAAGATATGTGCCACAAGGAGAAAAAAAAAAAGAAGGAAAAACATGAAGGGTTTAGAAAAAGACCAGCACAGGGTGACAAAAGGGAAGAGAACAGTGAGTCAGGGTCAGAGAAGAGGATCACGTTGGGAAGGCTGGAACTCCCTTGCCCAGGGCGGAGCACCATGCCCTTCTAAACCCAAGATGTGACTCACCTGCTCGATTCCGCTCATGTTGGCTGATCAGAGTGATCATGGCACATACCCAGCGACACCAGGAAAATCACTCATAAGATCTTGATCATGTCTAGATGATATTATGATTTGATTTTGAAACGCCTTTTTTTCCCCATGAATTTAGGTCTTAATTATTATCCTCTATTATTACAATTATTACTTGTTGCTCTGTTACTACAATTGCTTAGTTCACACTTGGTAATGAGTTTTTCAAAAATATGATTTATTGATTTTTTTTAGAGAGGAAGGGAGAGGGAGAGAAAGAGAGAGATCCATCACTTGCCTCCAACACAGACTCTGGCTGGGGACTGAACCCGCAACCTGGCATGTGCCCTGGCCATGAGTTGAACTGGCAACCTTTTGGTGCATGGGACAATGTTCAGTCAACTGAGCCACACTGCCCAGGGTGGCAATGAGTTATTAAATGAAGTGCATTAAGGTATTATTTTTTTTTCTTTAGAGTATCATGATTCAAAAACAGTTGATTTTCAACAGTGACACCAAGTCCCAAGGGAAAAAAAAATCCTGTCCAAGCATAGAAGGGTTTCTTATTTGATAAACTGAGCTTATAATTCTCAGGGATAAGCTGGTTCTCCCAATTCCCATGAGCAAAGATAAGCTGCTCTGAGTCAAGACTTCTTGCTCTCTGCACTCACTGCCCCTCGGTGCTCACCAGGAGACACAGTGGCTGTGGGATTTCAGGAGGCTCCCTAGGCTCTGCAGCGCCTGGGGCAGCCCCGCTCCGGTGAGGGCACTGCAGGCCCGGAGCTCCCAGCAGCGGCCCTGGAACCTCTCCAAGCCCAGCTTGTCTCTGATCTCCAGCAGGGGCAGAGCACCAGGCATCTCCTGCTTGTTGGCCAGCACCAAGAAAGGGACGCTGGCCATGCTGGGGCGGTCCAAGACTTCCGCGAGCTCAGCCCCTGCCTCGGGCAAGCGGGCTTTGTCTGTGCTATCCAGCACATACACAAGGACGTCTGCTCCTTCCAGGTAGTTTTTCCAGCTGGCCCTGAGCTGGGCCTGCCCCCCGACATCCCAGAGAGTCAGAGACACATGCCCCGGGGCTTCCAGAGGCTCCACATTGAAGCCAATGGTGGGCAGGGTCTCCACCAACTGGTAGCCCTTCAGTTTGTACAGGAGCGTGGTCTTGCCTGCTGAGTCCAGGCCCATCATCACCACCTGCGCTTCCGCCTTGTGACCTCGGGACTTCACAGAGCCCATGGTGGCCCCTGGCAGATCCTGGGGAGAAAGGCCAGGTGCACACATCAGCCATTCTTTTCTGAAGGAACACACAGATCCATGCAGGCACATGGAAGAGGAGGTTCTATTTCAAAAATAGGAAGTGTCTTGACAGTTTCAAACACAGGCCTGGGCTCTGACGGCCAGGAAGTGAGGGTGTGAGTCACCCTCAGCTGGCCCCTAGCTGGGCAGCCTCCTTCAGAGAAGAGCTCAGGACTCTGGGAGACAAGGAATGTGGGCTCACATTCCCTGGGAGGCAAAACAAAGTCCCAGTTAGGCAAACCCAGTTCAATAGAAACGACTGGAAGGTGTCTGCAAGTCTTGGTAGTCTGTGCGGCTAGCCTCTGTTTTCCTCCTGGTAAGCCTAAGCCCCGAAAGGGAGCGGCCTTGGGCTCAGTGCACTGAGTGAAGGGGACAGCGGCTCCTGGTCGCTTCGCTGCCTTTGGAACACCCCGCAGGCCAGCACCGTGTCCTGGACACAGGGGCTATTTATAAATACTGTTGGCTGGGGACAACCTTACCTTATCAGTCAGGGCAGAGTGGTTCCCTCCACTGTCTTACCAAAGTAAATTACCTCTCCCGTTTTTCACAAATCCCCTTTTTCAAAAATCAAACATTTTAAGACTAAGACCTGATCCTAGTTCAGTCAGCGGAAGCCTTGGCTGGGACAGTGAAGGGACACCTCACCCGAGGAATATATTTCAGCTGCCCCTGGAGGAGGAAAATAAGACAGCCTGTTCATTCCTCATGCCAGGGAGAAGAATGAAAATTGCGGTTACCTCGGTGCCGTGAGCCGGAGGCCGCAGCTCCTCCGGCAGCGTCTTCTCCCCCGCAGCTGCTCGTCGGTAATGTCCCAAGATCGAGCTGTGAGGTAAGTTGCTGTTTCTCCTTTTTCTGCTTCCTTTTCCCAGGTGGCTGTGGGGTGGGAGGGCTGTGAAGCCCGTCTGCCAGCTCTGGGGCTGCCAGCAGTTCTGCCGCCGGGGATGTGCCACAAATACACCCCCAGCGCTCCAGCCCTTAATGAGCGAGGTCCAGCACCACCTCAGTGTTGCGGCAGCTTGGACTCCTTGCAGAAGGAAGGGGCCACGGTCACAGCTGTGCCCAAGTCCAGCCACTTTCTTCTGCTCTTCCTCTCATAATCCTGTGACCTCCTCAGTGGAGAAATCTGAGAATCAGAGTTTTTCCTTCAGCCCGGCTAGCGTGGCTCAGTGGTTGAGCATCAGCCTATGAACTAGGAGGTCACGGTTCCATTCCTGCTCAGGGCACATGCCTGGTTTGTTGGCTCCGTCCCCAGTGTGGGGCGTGTAGGAGGCAGCTGATCAATGATTTTCTCTCATCATTGATGTTTTTATCTCTCTTCCTCTTTGAAATCAATAAAAAATATTTTTTAAAAATGATATTTTAAAAGGAGGAAATATAATTTTCAAAAAATTGTTCCAATGAGGAGCTGTTGATTCTGTAGTGATCTGATTTGGATCTCGAGTTGCAGTGATTTGGCTCTTGTAACCAGTAGCATTTGTGTAGCACTTTCTGCTTTCCACACATTATTTCACTAAACCGTCAAGAACCAAGTTGGAGTTATAATCCTCCCATTTTACAAATGAAGAAACAGGCTCAGACAAGGTAAACAATTTGCTCATGATCTTGCTGGGATTTCTAAGTCACCTCTTTCCTTTGGACATGAGCTACTCACTGAGCAAGTGCTTTGTAAACAGCAAACACCCTATAGCACTTGTTGTTGTCAGGCTACTGTATTTAACAGAAGGAAGCAATTAGGAAAAGTCAGAAACAGAATGTGTTGTGCACACCACTGTGTTTTGCTGTTCTTGATGTTACGTTGTTCTGTTCTTCTGAGTGCCTGGTTGTAGGCTGTAGTCCTTTTGCAAGGGCCAGGGTGTGTGGTGAAAGAAGGGAGAACGGGGGTGGAATTATTGGCAAATAAAAGCCAGAGTTGGAGAGTAGCTGAAGCCCTAAAAACATATTTTATTCAAGACTATTGCAATAGGGGGAAACAGACCTCACTGTAGAACTGGGCTCAATTTTGAGTACAACATGGGCAAGTAGGGATTTACAGCCAAGGAGTAGGATGGGGTCAGTGGATGAAAAATTACTAAGAGGAAATATCAGGGATAGTGGGGGGGGGGGGGGGAGTGGCTAAACTGAATAACAGGATTCTTGCTGAAGGCAGGCCAGGGTGCTCAGACATCACCTGGGAAATGATGGCCAAGGCCCTGTATTAGCTGGAGAAATGGGAGCCGGGAAAGCAACAATTACTGTGAATACGACCCAAAGGCCACGGTGGCCTGAGTTACCCTGTCCCTTTCTTCACTCAATCCCATCCTTGCAGCTCAACAAGAAGAGAAGTTTTTCCTTGGACACCCTTGTGTGCGGGGCTTTAGAAGGGCTGCTGTCCGCAGAGGCAACGAGGAGCAGAGGGTAACAGTGTGGGCTTTGATTCGGGGCTGCCTGGGGGCTTGGCCTCTACTACTTAGTTACTATGTCACCTCAAGTTTGTTCTTGAATTTCTCTGTACCTCAGCTTCTTTTTCTGTAAAATGGAGATGATGATATTAATAATAGCACCTAACTTGGAGGGTTATTGGGAGGGTTAACTAAATTAAGCAACATCAGATACTTAGCCCAATGCACTGCATGGTATCTGCATTCAGTAGTTTATTCCTGCTGGGTGTTCAAAGGACAGTGCAATATAAATTCAGTATCTGGCATCATTGGTTTTCTTGGCTTTGTGCATGTTAAACCTGGTATTTTTATTGAAACATTATTCTTACAGTTCTTACTCTTCAGTTAGACATAAGTAATCCTCAGTAGGAACTAATACTTGTCTTTTTCTAGGGTGTCTGAAATTAAAAAACCAGGCAGATCCATCTACTCAGACCCTAACCATGGCCCTAAAGTAAATTGCTTGAAGAAATTAGTTCCCAACGATTATAGATGCAGAGTTTTTGAAGTATGTCCATATTCAAGTGTAGATCAAAGAAGCTCAACTAAAAGGATTGTGGACTGACTGAAATGACATCAAGATTGAGAAAAAAAGGGAATAAGATGATTAAGACTCAAACTCGGGAGGCACTAAGGCAGTGGAAGAACTCAGAACATGTGAAATTCCTTAAATAAAAGTTTATTAACTTTAAAAACAACAACAACAACAAATACTTAGCCCAAATCCAGGCCCCTGGTCTCAGGTTACTAGTATGAAATGAGGAAAGAGGTATGGCCCCGGCTGGGTGGCTCAGTTGGTTGGAATATCATCTCACACACCAAAAAGACTATGGGCTTGATGCCCTGTCAGGGCACATACCTGGGTTGCGGGTTCGATCTCTGGTTGGGGTGCGTCTGGGAGACAACCGATCAATGTTTCTCTCTTTCTCTCTCTCTCTCTTTGTCCCTCCCTCTCTCTAAAATCAATGAACATATCCTCAGATGAGGATTAAAAAGAAAAAAAGGAGGGGTGTGTTTGGTAAGGGACACAACCTTTGTAAACCTGTGGCTGCAGCTACTGGAAGAGGAGCTCTGCTACACTCACTGGCACCAGGAGAGACCAGGGTCTTGGATCCCATCTGTACCATCCCCAGGAAATTAGGCTTCCCAAGAGGGCCCCTGAGCAGAGAGCCCCGTAATTCAGACTGTGAGTTCACAAATAAACTTTTGCCAATTCTCATACAGGTAGTCAGGTCTGGAGGATCAAGGCATACTCATTTCACTCACAAAAAAACCCCAACCAATTTATTAGCCAGAATACAACTTTTCACATTTCCAAGGAGATCCATTTAGGCCCTGAAGTATGGTACCTATTTGCTTTGTTTAACAATGGACAGGTTACTTTGATTTTCTAAATTGTATAAGTCATCCCATTCGATTGAATGCCGTATCGATTGAATGACTATTCCACCGATTGTTATCATACTGGTCTTAGAGAGCACATTCTTCTGTACCTGGAAACAGGACAGCACAATTACCCTAAATTGTTTTAGTGGCCACAGGTGGTACGTTCCAGCTGACTCAGTGGTCCCGAGACCAGGACAGCACAATTACTCTAAATTGTCCTGACAACTCAGTGGTCGGGAGACCCGAGGGCTCTAGATAATGTGTTTCTATCAACTCAGTGATCCAGAGACCCAAAACTGTAATTTAGATAACATGCCTAAGTTTAACCCAGGTTACCCAAGGACTCTAGATAATGTATTTCTGTCAATTCAGTGACCCCGAGACCCAAAACTGTAATTAACATGCTTAATTCTGCATCTGTAATCTGCTTTTTTGCGAGCCAGGTTCCTCATTCCAAACCCTGGGATGTAATCAATACCTTTGTGATTTTTGCCTATATAAGTCTGGTTTTGCCACCATCTTATGGCTATGAGGTTTGGGAATGCCCCCTCATAGTCCCGGATTGCAATAAATGCGACTCTTTAATTCGACTTCTTGAGGCGTCCTTCTGTGATTCGCGGGGTACATTACAACAGCCCAAGATCAGGAACCAGTGTTCCGTGGAGCACCCCCAGAGCAGGCAGCAGGGGGAGGAGCACCACGTGGCAGGCACACCGACACTGAGTAAACCAACCACGGAAACCACGTGCAAACCGGCTCTTTGGAAACAATGGAAAGTTGGTGGTTTTGAAGGATTGTTTATCATGGAACAAAGCCTGGTGATCACTTTCTTTTCTCCTTTCTACAGATAGGTCCTAGGGAGGAGAGGGCTAGAGTCAGAACTGTGTTCCCTGGAAAGTGCTAGCGAAATGCCGACATATTCCTCCTTCCCAGCCCCCTTTTGTCTGGGCTCCATAGTCCTCCTGCCTGTCTGTTTGTCATTTTGTGGCCTCATCTCTAGTCTATCAATTTCTTAACTTGCAATACTCAAGTTGATAACTTACCAACGACTGTATCTATTAATAATCAGGTGTTATTTATATTTCAAATTATCCCTACACAATTCAAAAGGTACAAAAGGGTAGAGAGTCAAGGGAGTTCTTCTCACGCCTGTCCTCCAGCCGTGCAGGTCCTTTCCTGGGAAACAACCCACACCATCAATTTCTTAGGTATTTTCCCAGAGATGGTCTGTGCATATGTAAGCAAGTTTGTAATGTTCATCTTTTTTCCTCCCCAAATGGTAACATACTTGGAGGAATTTAATCACTTTAGTAAATCTTTCAATCAGAATTTCTCAGCCATCTGCTCTGTCAAGGATCGGTGGCAGCAGCCCAGGGATTACCCAACTTCCCCAGCCTTCACCCCCTCTCCTCCCGCTCCCCCAGTGAGTGATGAGAGGGAGCATGCGCAATGTGCAGGTTGTCTTTGGGAGGTATTGTGGTGAGAATCAACATTTTAATCACGCTAAAGTTTAACATTCTCTGAGACGTTTAACTCCGTCTATCACTGTCATTTATTAGGCAATCCTGGGGACCCTAAGCAGTACAGTTGATCCTTGAATAGCAGTGGGGTTAAGGGTGCTGACTTCCCATTCAGTAAAAAAATCATGGATAATTTTGACTCCCCAAAACGTGGAAACCTTATTGATAATATAAACAGTCGATTAAGATATATTTTGGGTTTTTTTGTTTTTATTTGTTTTTATTGATTTCAGAAAGGAAGGGAAAGGGAAAGAGAGATAGAAACATCAATGGAGATAATGACAGTAAAAAAAAAAAAGAAAAAGAAAAAAAAAGAAACATCAATGATGAGAGAGAATCACTGATTGGCTGCTTCCTGCATGCCCCTTACTGGGGATCCAGCCCGCAACCCAAACATGTGCCCTGACCTGAATTGAACCCGGGACCACCTGGTTCATAGGTCGATGCTCAACCACTGAGCCACACTGGCTGGGCTAAGATATATTTTGTATGTTATCTGTATTATATACTATATTTGTACAATAAAGTAAGCTAGAAAAAAAGAAAATATTATTAAGAAAATCTTAAGGAAGAGAAAATACATTTGCAGTACTAAAAGTATTTATTGAAAAAATCTACATACAGGTGAGTGGACCCTCACAGTTCAAATCTGTGTTGTACAAGGGTCCACTGTATACCGGAAGCTGGGATGGCTGCCACAGGTGCAGCTTACGGTGCCTGTCTACAGGGACATGTGTCTTTGGTTAAGCTTTCCCCAGAGAGCACGAGGTCAACTCCAGGATAATTCTGCACAAGAAAGAATGTTTCTTGAATTTGAATTCACCTTTTGAATGACCCAGACATTCATGTAGTTTTTTAAAAGCTCACTCTTTAAAAATTATCTGATCCTAGAACCTAATTTGGTTTTACCGTATATGTAAAACCCAGACTATTTTCTGTATAGTTTCACATACATTACATTTTCCAGAAATGAGACTAGTATGTGAACTGAGGAAAGCTTGCACTGTTTTGTTGGGAGCTTTAGCATGAGCTGTTCCCCATTCTAGAAAATCACATCGCTGACAGCAGCACTGCCTGTGGCATTTAAGTTGCTAATAATACCCATAAGAATGCTGTATCAGGCCCCATTGTGGCCACATTGATTCTACCTTTAGTTGCAAAAGTTTGACAGCTTCATCAATGTGATTGTGCCTGAGCACTTTTATGGAAATAGTTATTCTTTTGTTATATGTATCTTCCTTTTATTTATTTCTTATCTTATAGTTATATTATTATATTGATTCTATTTGACATTATAGGGGTAAATAGATTCTATTACTTATGATTTTCATTTCTAGATTTAAAAGTATTTGTTATATTGGAGGGAAAAGTGGTGAGTTGCTCTGTTTTAGGGCTCCTCCTAGAGGAGGAGATAGTTGGGTAGAGGAAAGGATGAGTAAGGGACCAGTAGTAGCAGAGCCAGTGGACCTGGGAGTTGGGGAGGAGGGCAGCTTAGAGTGGAAAAAATAAAATCCAGCGTGTCGGTGCTGACAATGGGAGACCTCGAATTGGAAGCCATACCTGGTGACAGCCAGAGGTTTCATCTTCTCGCTCTCTGAGTCAGGGAGGTCTGTTTCTTCACGGGAGCATGCAGTCTCATTCCTACATGGAGCCTGGCTTCTAACTACATCCTATGGACTACCTTGTAGCAGAACACAACTTGTCAATGTGTGCAATGATTGCATAGGGCCAGATGCAAGAGCTGCTTACAAAATGGCAAGACGAGAACCAAAAAGAACACCAAATTGTAATAGCTGTATGCCCTTCCATGCTTTTCCGAGGCAATTGGTTTTACAAAATTTTACTGACGTATTGCTTTGCACAGAAAACCCGAGCAAAAGGAAATCTATCTGCCTGCCTATGCTTTTCTAGTGCCCGGTCATGCACCACATATTGGACTACATGTACAAATGTGGTCCCATAAGATTATAATGGACCTGAAATTTTTCTCTTGCCTAGTGACACAACAGTCCTAACATTGTAGCATGCTGTGTTAGTCCTGTGTTTACAATGATGCTGAGCTTAGTATGAGCTTCCCAGTTATGGAAAAGCATAGCCCATACAATTGCAGTAGTCGACTATCCCATCTAGGTTTGTGTAAGTGCATTCTGTGATGTCCACACAAGGGTAAAAAGGCCTAACAATGCATTTCTCAGAACTTATTCCCATAATCCCCATAGTTTAGCAGTGCCTGACTATACTCTGGCCACAAACAAGATCCCCAGTATAGAGAATCAATAGGAAATATTCTACCAGGACTACTTATCCTGCAATGGCATGTGGAAGCTGTTTCCCAGTGTTTTCTAAATTCCAGGTTTTGGAAGCTCTTTACCTCCCTCACAGTGTCTGGAGAGCTGAGACGTCTCCCTCATTCATCTCCCCTGCTGTCGCAGCTGCTGGCCAGTCTGTACCTTTGCTGTCCCGCCTTCAGCTCTGTACTCAGCTGCCTGGACTATTTTGAAAACCACCTAATGGCCTTAGTGGAGAGAAAGGAATGCCCTTTGTGTGCCCCACTATTATCATTGTCATCTTATCTCATCTTTCCTGCCCTCTCCGGCCAGAGTGTCTTCAACGATCCTCAGCCCCCTTATTTCCTGTGTTCTGCCGAGATTAGTTAACTATGGTTTGCCAATTACAGTCCAGCCTAAGAATAATTGTGTTCCACGTGGTTGTAACCAGAGTGTACATACACTTCTATACTCTGATTTTTTTTTTTCATTTAAATGTACGTCGAAATTACACTGCCTTACTCCAACATAGTCTCCAATAAAAAATTTTGCATTGGCTTCAAAATTATATTACATCAAGGGGGAATATTACGATTTACTTCCACAATAATGCTGAATTAAATATTTTGGAACTAAAGCTTTTCTCTTCATTTGGATTATTTACATGGGCCAGATTGCCAGTGTTGGGGTTTCAAGGACAGAAGAAATGAACACCTAATGGCTTGCTCAGAACTTTCAATATGCCATCATGTTACACAAGTTGTGCTTTTATTTTACACGCTGGATTTTGATTTTGATTTTTTCCATGATAAGCTGCCCTCCTCCCCAACTCCCAGGCCCACAGCACCCGTGCCATGAGTTCCTCAGCATTCGGAGAAGAGATAGCATTGGGGTGTACCGTCCCCAGACCTCTGTTGTAGGGAAAAGGTTCCAGATGCCATGGAGATTGTGGAGTGGAAAAAAACATTCCCACTGTTGGGGATTTTGATGTAATATAATAATTATAATGATTACTAGAAGCCTAGTGCACGAATTCATGCATGGCTGGGAACCTTGGCCTGGCTGGCTATCGGGACTGATTGGGGCCGCAGGAGGTTGGGGGGCGGGGAGGCTGCGGGAAGTTGGCTGTGGGAGCGCACTGACCACCATGGGGCAGCTCCTGCATTAAGCATCTGTCCCCTGGTGGTCAGTGCGCATCATAGTGACCAGTCGACCGGTTGTTCGGTCGTTCAGTCACTTAGGTTTTTATACATATAGATGATATTGGTAGCTATCAGTTATTGAGT